GGTCTTGGCGACGATTTTTTGAGATGCGAACGGCATCATAATCATAGATTTGTTTTTATGAAAAAGGAAGAACGATCGCTACGATAACGCACCAGCACATTCTTCCAGAGTCGTCGCCGCCAAACTGCATGAATTGCGTTTTGAAGTGCTGCCGCCCCTGTATTCACCCGGTCTAGCCCCCTGCGACTTTTTCTTATTCCTTAACATGAAATGGCTCGCAGGAATAAAATTAGCTCAAACGAGGAAGTCATGGCCGAGACAGAGGAGTATTTTGGAGAGTTCGACAGATACTATTTCTTGGAGGGGTTAAAACATGGCAGGAACGTTGGGATAAGTGTATATTTCCAAAAGAGGTTTAAAAAATGGTGTCTTCATTTCTAACACGGATACTTACTGAACCGCCCTCGTAATGTAATGAGTTTTAACGTCACCATTTTCGGCTACTTCATATCCTTTTTGCAAACATTTTTATAGACTTCATGGGAAAGGTCATAAAATATAGAGTACTCTCAAAATAATCCAATAATCTGCTCCACTTAGATATACTTTACTATTTTACTGTCCTTTATGCGAAATTGCTGCAAATCCGACAAAAACGAATCTGATTGCGAACTAAGTTTCCATGGGGATAAAAACGCAGATAAATCGCAGCCAAGACGAAAAAAACCGCGCTAGTTTGAACTTTTCTATTTACCGCAGTGAAAACAAAATGTTGCGAATCGCATACGATGCGAATATACGTGTGTATTGCGAATTTTCCGCGCTGGTTTGGGGGAGCCTTAAAGGAATTCCATGACGTGTCTTCTCTTAATATGACTAGTCTTTGACCCAGGTCTTCCCTCATAGTTTAGGCTTGTTTGTATCTAATATCCCTGGAATATAACCGCAAAATAGCGGGGGAGATTAAAGCAATTTCTCTTTGACATGACGTAAAAGCAACGTAACGAATGAAAAAATATGCGGTTATTCGTAGATTGTCATGCGTAGGTCTCTGGAAGTTCTTTATTTCTTGGGCTTAATCTTTCTACTTCCTATTTGATGTGCTGCAGGACTCAATCTTAGAGCGTTTTGTTATCGATTTGTTTTACACTGGATGTCTTGTCAATTATATCGCATATCACTTAGATAGCACAAAGATAGAAAGAGTTCAGAACATAGCCGATGCCTGAGCTTAGATGGGATTGGCTATACGACAAAAAACTGTCACAGCTTTTGAACCAAGCAGAATCTAATTTTCTGAAATTGAATCATCAGTTTCTTATATTGAAATTAAAAAGCTCTTCAAAATTTTTGGATTATACTGGGTGTTTCGAATTATACTCTCACCATTTCACTGCTATCTTGAAAATGCTAAGAGAAGCGAAGTCGGTTTAAGGGAAGCAAAGTTGCATTTAACTGGGTGGGTACCCTGTATCAATTGTACGAGCCTGATTGACTCAATTGAACTATTTAATTTTTTCATACATGTTCGTAGTTAACTTTTTTCTCGGAAGAGCTAACTTGTGTCATTTATGAACTGCTGATATCGTTGTTGTAGGAAGTAAAGAGTTAGCCCACTTGACACCTTTTTTCAATGATTTAATTCTTCTAACTCATATTGTACGACTGTACAACCTTGCATCTTGTGGACGGTCGAAGCCCAACTAAGGATTAATGGCAACATTCGCAATGAACAAATTGAGAATGCACTACCTTGAAAAAGTATCTGCCTCCGTTGTGCTGTGCCCAGTGCCCGAATCAACAAAGAGTAAGTCCGAAACTGCACGCGTGCGCAGATCGCGCGCTAGCTCTATCTCTCTTACTTCCCTACAGAGGATCTATAAAAGAACTTATCAATCCTGGCGGTCCTAATAAGGATAATGGACAACTGTTATAAAATTAATGCATTGTCATCGATCCTTGATACGTGTGCGAAGTTTCAAATTAATCAAACTTCTGAAGAATTATGCTCAAAGATTCCGTTACATGCATACATACATACAGGCCAATCTAATAAAAACGTGTTAACAAAAAAGCCAAAAACATTGATCGAGGATCAGGGATGAATGAGATCATTATTTCTCTGCCCGCTGACTTTTGGTACATTTTGTATCGGAAAGATTGATTCGTATGAGATATATATAATTCAAAAATAAATAACCACAAAAACACTTCATAACAACGTTGTAGGACGTGTGTACATGCACACAATTGAACATTTAGACGTCATTATGACGCTGATATTTGAAACAATCACGTCAGTTGACGAGTTATCACCAAATATCGACGTCATTATGATGTGCTTGTGCTAGCTGAACAGATAAATCTCCCCGTTTATCCATAAAAACTGAATTTGGAACTTTTTATTGCCCGATATGAAGGGGTCTTGGTCCATATTACTTATCATTTCACTATGTCCATTTAAGTACGGAACACCCTGTATATAGTGTGTCCCAGATTCGCTTCTCTTTACAGGGATCTCGGCTCCTATTATACCTACAGCAAATTTTGTTTTTTGACAGCTGTCAAAATGTGAGATTATTCGGTCATTTTTTTAAGGCAAATAAGATAGCGTGTATGACATGTCTTAATCGTCTTTTGTTTTCCCGCAACCTGCCTCAACTTTCATTTTTCTTATGGACGCCATATTGGATTTTTCGATTTTTGAAAAGAGCGTAAACCTTCTAGCCTAGTGATTTCTCACAAGTGCATGATTGGAGTATCATCGAAATCTCATCACACGTAATGTTGTATTAATTTTTTTCTAAGGAGGCCATGATTTATTTGTCAGAAAATAAAATTAATAAGTAACGCATTTTTTTCATCTATGTATTAGAATTGTGTTTTGATAAGTAGTAGGTACGTTTTCTATCTTTAAAATCACAAATCTGACAAACCAAATTTGCAAAACCTGTTGAAAATGGCCGGCATTCTCTACTCAAATGAAGAAAAGTTTCACATGTTAGCGCTATACTAACAGTCACACAGAAACGCCGACATTACCTCAGCAAGTATAGAGAAGCGAATCTGGGACACACTGTATAAGGAAAACCAAATTTGTCTGACGGCTTGAGTTCAATATGGACGAGAGAGAAGTGTGTCTAGAATACATACGCTAGACAGAGATAGAAGCCGGCTGGATAGCAAAGCTCATCACCGCGTTGCCTGGCAATGCTGACGCAACACTCTGTCAACATGTTAAGTCGTTCCTTGACTTAAGATTTATGTTGAAAATATGTGTTTGTTTATTCTCTACGCCCAAATAATGGTTTTATTTTTAGCGTTCACATTTTAGAATTGTGTATATACGAATGTGAATATATGTCCAGTCTCTCAGAATCACGTATGAATCACAATACAGAAAGAAGAAAAAAATGTGTATACATACTAATTGATAATCAACTGTCGAGACAAGTACCAAAATCTCCACTGGCAGCGTATTTTGAAAATCCCATTCCAACGTTTCCTACATGTTAGCAAGCAAAGGGAATTCTAAATAACCAATAATATCCTGTGAAAGATAAAAAACCACGAAAGACCCGCCTACTGGCCATACACCTAGCAGAGCGTCCGTAGAATATTCTGCAGACGATAATCGTACTGGTCGACCAATCAGCGTCAAACATTTTTTGTGATACTATTTCTGTTTACTGATAAGAGCGTTCCAACCAACGACGTTCCAACGTGTTTTTTCTGTTTTGCGAGAGGAGTGTGCAGAAATAAACGCTTCGATTTGTATTGGTGGAGTTAGTATGTTTCTCGTTTATTTGTATCTTGCAGCTATATTTTGCAAACAATAATCCTATTGGTTACAAATCAGCCATTTCTGTGTGACTAATTCTTTCTGCTGATAAGAGCACTGGAAAAAAATCGGTTGAACTAGTCGATTTCTATTTCGAGGTAAAAATCTCTTGCACCAATTTAGTGTTGCAAAAAACACGTTTTTTTAGAAAAAATTAACTATATGATATTTTCGATTAAATCGTATTTTTTATTTCTATCAATTTGTAAAGGTTATTTAATTTGTGTTAACCCGTCTATGATGATTCTCTGAATATTTCGACAATTAGATCGACTCAGTACTAATGACGTTTTGTTATACAACAGACATGAACTGACAAACCGACATAAATGAGAAACACGGATTTGTGTGATGCAGATATCTTTAGGCAATAGGAAACTCTTGGTTTAAAAAAAAATAACCGTTTTATTGCATCTCACTAGACAAAATTGGTTTATTAATTTGTACTAAAAAAATCCCATGTATCTTGGAACACAAAAATAAAAAATAGCCTCTTAATACAACAAGTAATATCGCCAAATTCCAACAGAATCGAATAAAAATTTTATAAGATATTAATAAAAAAAATTAAATTTATCACCCTGTATCTTGAAAACTCTGCATTTCCGGACGCGTGTTTATATAAACTTTTATAACAAAAAAAATCCATGAAGTGTCCTTCGTCCTTTCGGCTCTTCATTTTTTATCAAAAACGATGTGTCTCTAGAGAGTCTGCTTTGTTTTAAATGTAAAACATTTTCGTGATAAATGGAGGCTGTACTGATAAGTAAATTGTTTTATCAGATATTAAAATGAAGATTGTGTGATTCGTATTTACAAACTCTTATTTATTTTACTTTTATATGCTGCCTTTTGCAAACCTGTTTGAAAATTTCATTACGTTGTCCCCGTTGGCCCTTTCCGTATGTTGTTATGTTCCACCTCGGAGCCTCAAGCTGTACAGCGCCATCTATTGATGACATATTAAACGTTTGCATTGGCAACGCTGGCTCGACTTGCTTATTCTTCGAGGTTGGCAACTGCGGATGCTGAATGTTTTTGTTACGGCATTTGTCGACGGCAACATTGTTTTGCTCTAGTTAGAAAGTATTTATTTTGTATCCAAAGTTGATTATCCACGTTTCAACTGGAGTGTTTATAATTTGCATCAAAGCTGATTGTTTATAAAACAGCTAATATTGTGACGTGATACTCCGAGTGAGAAGTAAAACGCATTTTAATGCCAAAAATGCCGTCTGTTGATATGGGTATGAACACAATGACAACAATGATCAAGGATCCCCCACAGTTCAACATTTCATCGAAAGACGTGGAAAATCTGGTGTTGGAGATCAAGGAAAACCTTCGATTAACGACAGCCTCGACCACAATGAAGTCGTTATCATGCACTAGGTTATCCAGGAAGTCGTCCAGAACATCTCCCTATCAGAAACCAGGCAAAGTACGTTGTGATACACTAGGCTGTTCATCTACATGTAAAACCTGTAAAGTAAACAAATACAAACCTCAACCCAGTGAACTGACCGAAGACCCCTATGAACTCCTACAAAAATTGCTTAGAGATGGGAGCTTAGTGAATGAAGCAGTTCGAAGAGTCCAACTAGGTATTTCACCAAAACATTATTTCTATGAGTCAGATGATGAATCGAAGAGCCCCATGCTACGATTTATCCCTCAGGAGAACTGAAGTGTGTCTATGGATTGTCCGTTATGTTCCTCAAGGTATGTCTGATGTGTGAAAATGAGATTGTTTATTTTTAGCCTGAGAATATACAAGGTGTATCGATCACATCAAGTTCAATAACTCCCTTGTTATGATTATGCACAGATCACTTTAATATTTTCATGTACCTGTTATATAAAATTAATATTCATACAAGGCAAGTTATAGGGGATGCTGAAATGCACAGAAAATAGTGATTTACAATTTTTAAGATGTCTCTAAAAACTAGGTTTCATGACTTGCAATTTCAGGTATAACACTCGTAGGGAACTGCAGAACATATTGATATGTTCTTCCTCAAATTATATTTACTTTGAGGTCATCTTGTAGATATTTTAGATGATTGTATCAATTAGAACTGCTTACAAAATTTAAAAGCATGGCCTCAACTTTCTCTGTCTGTACAATTTGTATTTCACAATAGTTCAAGTGATATGTGTGATATCTTCCATCATCTTTAGGTGATCTGGTGGCATTTCAATGTCAGGTTGTGCTAAAACATATGACAAATGAAGCTAAAAATGTATTAATAAATATATTGTAAAATAAAAATTCTATAGACATTGGAAAGAAAGCTTATTCAACATAAGGGAATTTGTTCTTTTATGGGCAATTTCAGGTCATTTTTGTATAAGTATATTAGTTTTAGTTATGTTTGCACAATATGTGAATACACTTATTATCAATATTATTTAATTTATCTAAAAATATAAAACATTGAAAAATTATATTTGTTACAAAGAGATAGTAGGCAAGTGAACTTAGTTGTTACTGATATTATCTTCACAAATTTAAAAAATGCTAATTGCAGCACAGTTTGTGAAGTTATAATTATTTTTCCTTTTCCCCTATAACTTTAGTGGAAGAACCATTAAAATACGAGCCCCTTCCCACTTCAGTTGGCCCACTTCAAGATTTGTACCAAAATATGCCTTTATAAACTAAACATGACGAAACTATTTACTTCTAAAACAATTTATTTTCTCAAAAACATTTTATAGACTTATTTTGCATTGAAATGAAAATAGGTTGATATGTTGTAATTGCAACATGTGTTATTTTTATGCTGCAAATTTGATTAGGGAGTGATCAAGTTGGTGTTTTCTACTATATATTATCAAAATATTTATTGTTAATATTTTAAACCTATAACATCCTGCTACATTTTTATTATTTGTGTTTGATAAGAAAAAAACTAAGATTTCAATAGTTGGGCCAACTGAAGTGGAAAGGGGCTCGTATTTCAACAAGATTGATACACCTTTTATAAAAAATTAACGTGTGATTTTATATATTAGGTAAAATATACAGCTACATCTTGAAGTGTAAAAATATTTACTGTTAGAAATGTAGAGCATTGTTTTCATGATATGTATCAAAAATTTTACCATCTCATCAAGTTTTTTTTTTTTGAATCTAGTCACAAAAATTGTTTCTGCTAGCATTAATGGTTTTCAAAAAGTATTAATGCGTCAGTTGAATACATCTAATATTTTGTATTTTTAAAATTCATTCAGTCGTTTTACCAATGAGCTTGTCATAAACTGTTTCAGTCATAAAATCTGTTTGTTAATAGACAATATTGCCCAGGTACATTGTGCTTTACCTATGAACACAATGCTCCTAAATGATATATAATTTTGTTACACTGATGTCTAAATCTTTAAAAATTAGTCATGTGATGTTGAATTTCTACCATTCAGGTATATGTGTACTAAAGTGAATTCTTAATTTAAAATCCACATATGTTAGAAATTGAATACGATTTTGAAGTGTGAGAACTCGTATGGAGTTCATAGTGTTTAATCTTCATAATTTTGCATTTAAATCCAACATACGCATACATAACAGGTTAGTGTTTTTGATTCAACAAAATGTTTATTGGTTCTTAGTTCAAATCAACCTAACTAATATTGAAAGTTTTTCACTTAACTAGAGTATTGGTATTCACCTATCAAATCTATTGGCATATTTTGTTTTCAGATGTTAGCTGATACAAAATTTCCTTGTTTATATTGTAAATATGCAAGATATTTTACAATAAAATGAAGTAAATATCTATATTTTTAATAGACTTAGTAGAAATTGGTCCATGTCCATGATAAAGTGTGACCTACAAACAATTATAAGTACTTACATTGCAAACATTGAGTTGTTTACATTTCTGATATTTTTCAAGTGTGCAAATCTTGTATTATTATCGTAGGCAAATTCCTTGTTTTTTGTTATAGGTATCACCTATCGTTTTTGATTCATTGCAATTTGAAATAATGTCATGGATTTTATCGTATCTTTCAATTTACGTATTTGGGAGTTCTCATGTTTATTTGGTGCAGAAAAAGTAGTATACTTATTTAAACACCATACAGTGCAAACTCCAAATCTTGTCTGGCCTGATCATTTACATGAAATGCAGACCCGGTTTTTGGAGAGAACAATTTGTATCTTGGACCTGTATGTACTACATTTTCTTTAGACAATATAGCATACGAGTATGGAAATAGCATATAAACATGTGAATATTTCATTGCATGAGCAGACGTTTATGAATCGTCAATAACATAATACATGGTATGATTTTTGAATGTATTATCTTTGCCTTTCTCAGAATTTTCAAATACATAAAAAGACTATTGGAAAGTCTTTTCACTGTGTTGATGCAACTTTTCTGGAGCTATATTTCATTTTCCCAAGCTCTGTTCAACATCATTCATAAAACAGTTTTGTAGACCAAAAAAGAGAGTTTTAACATACATGATTTTACTATACATTCCCAAAATTTTTCAATTTGTTCACTTTGTTGTAGAGTTTTTTTTTGTGATGTGAGTCGTTCGAGAACGCAGATATTTTTAGACTAAATGAATCCGCTTATGTTTTAATTATTCTACTTCTTTAAAGTACAACAATGACAATATATTTTATGTTCATTTGTCTTTCAGGTGAAAGTTCATTTCTTTTTTTCGCCGAAACGTTAATAAAATGTAATTCAAACATGTATGATTTCATTTAGCGTCCATACAAACAGTCCTTTCAGCGCGAAAATTGAAAGATAAGTTTCAGAGGTTATACACATATTTGTATCTAATCATTATTACAATGAGCTTGTTCGGATAAACAAATAGTGAGTCAAACCCCTTTTGTTTATTTGTTGTTCAAGTACGTACAAACCGGTAAATACGCTGTGAACCGCAAAATACAGTGAACGGGTACAACAGCCGAATTTAATCGGTTACCATTGTTTAAATTTGGGAAACTGACGATTTTGTGATGCGTACAATTTTTAGTCGACAGATATATTCCAAATGGGAAATTTCCATGGCGTACACATGTACGCTATGTCTACAAAACGATGGATTGGAAATGAGCAAATTTACAGTTTTCTGGGAAGGTGCCTGATTCACATAGAGTGATATTTTGAGGATCAACTGAAAAAGTGACCCTATGCTGATAATCGTGATTTAATTTTCGACTATAGCCTCAACTGTATGATGAAAATGGAGTTTGGACTGAACATTAGCCCGAAAAGTTGCTAATTAAACTTTTCATTTTCTCATGCGCTTTGGCGGTTTTATATTTTCCAACCTGTAATTTTGCTTTGTCTACCACGTAGATTCACGTACAAGAGTGTTCGGATAAAATTTGAAACGAATTTCAAGGATGTTTTCTGGGAAGCTGTGCATACCATACATTAGTTATATCTAGAATCTAAAAATTACCCGATATTTTTGTTGACGATTTTTCATGTCCATGACATCTTTCGTATTGCTACAGGAATAGTATTTTTGTTTACGTTATATAATCATTGATATTTTGTTTTCCATGAGTCCTACAGTTTTAGTTTTGCATTCATGTTCTTTCCTTCCTTATCTGGTTTTAGTTTTTATTTTCTAAATAGGCATGTTTGTGCCTTCGGTTTATCAACCAAACAACTGTTTTATTTTTAGTAACCATAGTATTATACGCTTAAACTTTGAATCTTATTTATAATTAAAATAGGCGTAATAGTCGTTTTTTATTTTATATATTTTATACGTACTAATAGTAGAAGTAGGAAATTGTAAGTTCTGTTCGATGGAGAAAATAAATTTCTTTTTAAAAAACACAGTTTTTATTTATTCAAGAAGTATTCGGTCTCGTTACATGGGAGCTATGTCTTCAACAAATAATAACGGTTCAAGGTAGGATTTAACATTTGGACTTTATAGTTAGGCTGTCACAGTTTTCATGACAGGTTTTAAAAATTTGGAAAATTTTCAGAATTATCGAAATACGTACCATATTCAAAACGACCAGGATTTTCGAAACATTAGATTTAAATAGAATCTTGGAATTTGACGATATTTTCAAATTATTCAAACCTTTCAAGATTTTAATTTCGAAAATTTTCAAAATCTTCAAAACGTTTTCTAATTTACAAAATATTCAAAATCTAAAATATTTAATAAACCATGAAAAATCTGGTAGTTTTGAAAATGTCGAAAATCTCGCAATTAATAAACAATACACACAATTTTATTTCTGTGCTTTACAATGAGGAAAATATTATTGTTAAAGCGGAGACGTCTGCAGAAATAGCGGATGTTATGAACTATTGTTTTTGTTTACGACTTGTGAATTGATATCGCAATGTAACGGCACAACGGTAAGAATATTGTTGTTATGTTGTAGGAAAAATAAACATTCCTAATTACGAAAGTAGTGGTACAGGAACGCTAATTCAAGCTAAAAATGACGTGCCTTTATTTACAGGATGATTTAAAAAACAGTGGTAAACAAATTATATCATCCACAGCGACTTGGGAATTGTTAAAATATATGCGAATATTTCAAGTTATTGGATATACTAATAATATGTAGACCATGCATTAAGCGGTAGGGCGCGGTTACGGATTATCTTCTCCCAGGTCTCATACCTTTCTAGCCACTTGACACAACATAAGAAAGCATATGCCTTTGATGAATCCAAACACAGACCGTTATCGTTAATACTTCATCATAGTGAGAGGTGTCGGTAACATTTATACCCTATTTCACGAATATCCATCAGGCTTTGACGTCGACTGAGGTGAATAGCTGTCAGCAGGTGACATTTTTTGATAGCCTTCAACGTTGGCAATAATAAATCTGGTGTGACTTTAGCAAAACTTGTTTGTAGCTCTGTCTACCTGGCATTGACGGATCCGTCAGAATTATGTCCTGTGCTAACATGAGGAATTTTGAAATATTACTAGATAATCAGCCGTCATTCTACCGTGATGGATACTCGTCAAATAGGGTATATAATTATCCGACTGCTTCGGAAGTAGGGTTTTGTTTTTCCGTGTGTATGTATGTTGACAAAAATAGTTCTATTTGGTGGGCTACAGTCCCAACGACTTGATGGATTTTGTCATGTGATTAGCGGTTCGCTTTGCCTTAGCAGCCTAAACGACGTGAGGGATTTTGATACATGTATATTAGTCCAAGCTAGATAAAAAACGGTGAAAAAGAGCTTAGCAGATATCTGAAAGTTTTAAATGGGAGAGGGGGTCCTTCTAATGATTATATAATTTTCAAACTAAATTTTATAAATAATCACTAAACTGAAGATTTTAGTTCATAAAAAGACCTTCAATTCTGTTTTTCAAGAATTAAAATCGATAAACAATTAAGCTAAATGTTTATAACTATTGCAATAACAATTGTAAATCGCAAAAAATTTCTGAGAATGAGGGCATCATTGGTGTTAATATGTGTGCTAAATTTCAGCCGGATCGGTTTGATAGTTTATGTAAAAAGCCTATTGTTTTTCCTAGAGACGAATTATTTAAACAATTGTTCTTTCCCAAGATATGCTGCTAGAACATTTTGCAAAAGTGAAATGGATTCTTGAAGTTCAAGAATTTATGCAAAAATTTAAGTATTTATTTAAAGATTGATGATAAAAATGATGTAGAAAAAATAGTAATTTTTTATAGTTCAATATAATTTATTAAGTTGATCTGAAAACGCGTATTTCAAAAAATCTTCTACGACCAATAGGAACCAAGATAAAATTTTTTGACACAAAATGCTATAACCTTGCTGTAATCGGAATTGTCGATGATGAAGAGCAGGCAGAGAAAATCGACGACTTATTTGAAGAAATGAGTTACAGAAATATTGAAGAAGTAGAGCGTCCAAATAATAGATTTAGAACGGAACATCAAGATTAATTAAATAATAAAATATTATATTTAAGAAATACATTATATAATTTTAGTATAACAAAGAATGCAATTAAAATTAACTGAATTATGAAGTGTTTAAACAATTTTAATGTAAAATATAAATTATTTTATTAGAATGGGAGCAAAAGTAAATGAGTTATTGTTAATTTATCATTATTTCATAGCAATTTAATTTTAAAGAATACAACGTGTTAAGTTTTCCGGGAATTCCCGATTTTCCAGGAAGATGTTGCAGATGTCATTATTTTGATGAGTTTTCTCAGATTAAAAAAAAATATTTATTTGTTGCTTAGAAGTCGAGATAATGCAAAATTTTACAGCGCGCTCCGATATGAAGACTCAATTTCAAAAAATAAATAGAGCAAGAGCTGATTCCCTCACCCGGAAATACTTACGCTAGTACCTTCACTTTAGGTGGCTATTTCTTAAAGACCTCTGAACTAATAGTAAAATTATAAATTGGATCATGAAGTTAAGATCCTTGATTAAAATTTGTGAAAATTTCGAGTATTAATGTTTATAAAAATTTATTTTTAAATATGCGTTTTTAACCACCTATCCAGATCAACTTGTTGAGATAAATTACATCGAAAAATGAGCTATTGTAACTGTTTATAACTATGAAATGACTATTTCTTTAACATCATTTTTAACAACAATTTTGAAATAAATAATTAATGTTTTGCATAAATTCTTGAAGTTGAAACCTTCCAGAATCCATTTCACGTTTGTAAAATGTTCTAGGACCATAGATATCTTGGGCAAGAACAGTTGTTTAAATAATTCGTCTCTGGGATAAACAATTAGCTTTTTACATGTACTATCAAACCGATCCGGCTGAAATTAAGCATACATATTAGCACCGATGATGCCCTCATTCTAGCCATTCACAATAATTGTTATTGCAATAGTTATAAACAGTTATTCAATATTGCTAGAAAGCCCCGTATTTAGTTCAATTGTTTATCGATTTTAATTCTTAAAAAATAGGATTTAAGGTCTGTTCATGTTCTAAAATCTCCAGTATACCAATTATTTATAAAATTTGCTTTGAGAATACAAGCGAAATACTGAAATTTGAGCTTTTCCCATTGTTTATTATCAAAAACAACGCATATAAAAAGTTTCATGAAATACCTATTTTTTTCTCTGTAGTCTGGGCTATATGGGGTTTTCTAGATTTGTCTTCGCATTGCGGGTGACACTGAGTATATTAAAATTTTATGATATCAAAATGGTGTATTTTGAATATAAATTAGAACATTTTATTTCACGAGCTATAATCCAAATGGCTTAGATTCGGCTTGATAGCACAATTGAAACTTTATTCGTTTGAAATACTGCGGTCATGTTTTTTGTATTTGAATGTATTTACTTGTACAAATAAATTATCTCTCTTGAGAAATTTTTGTAAGGTCATTTCTTAAATATGAAAATCGGTTTGATACAGCATCCACATAAAAACATTTCGTTTTATTCTGAAAATCCGCTGAAATTAGTGAATTTTGACGTTGAAAATTATTTTAGTTCGCATTCAAAAATGCAGTCGTATTTCACCCATTTGTACGTGAGAAGCAGAAGGGAAATACAAAAAAACATGAGAACAGTTGGCCCATTCAGTATGCAAGACCGTTTATTAAAAAATAAAAAAAACATTTGCAGCCTTTGAAGCGAAAATTCAGTAAAACAGTTATATCGGGTAGCTCTTAGGCCTGTGGATAATGGATAGTCAAAACTAATAAACCCGTTTCATCAAGATTTTTTTTTTTAGCTCAAAACCATTCTAGTTGTTCTGTTCTATTCCAAACTCACTGAATTTTCGCTTACGACAGCAGGATATACATTCATAGAAATGATAAACACAAATACAATAAAATTTATACACAAACAAAACGATGCGAGTAAATTTCAACATAACATAAATAAATAATGTTTCTTCAGTCTTAAAACAAATCCTCCTAATATATTATCCGCTTCAAAATATATTTTCTATTGGTTATGGAGGATCAAAGTCAATATATTTTTCTGAAAAACATGTGCTAACGATGCAGGACCTATTTATCTACTACAGTTTTATAATAACAATGCATGTTGCTCTGTAGATAATTATTCTACATTAGTATTAGCCGTAAGTTTTGATCCAGTCCTTAGGCCTTCAAAATAAGCCCTGTAGCGATGAGCAATCAAAAAAATCTTAGCACCAAGACTCAAATAATAATTAACTAGCGTTATCTAATACTAACACATAATTTTTATAGTTATGAAAACTAAACTGTCTCACTATAAAATTATTTCATTAACAAAAGTGCATCAGACTCTACATTTATTATTGTTAACTTGCATGGTTGCTTGTTATTTTTTACCCTGTCCGATGCTAGTTAAATTTTGATGTATATTTGATGATATTTTGCCTTCCCGCCCTTGCCGATCAAAAAACCTAGATGCAGTGCCACTAAAGTTTTAAAGTGTTCGTTGACGTCACTGATACAAAATATAGAGTTAATAATTTTCAGATCTTCGAACATTGTTCGCTTGAAAAAGTAACATGACGTGATTTGAGCTAACAAGGGATTATCAAAATACAAAAAAAAAACTTTTCGTTTTGATGAGACGTTAGAATATTATTAATGAGACACTCCGAACAATACCTATCATATTCAACATTTAGGAGCATCTTTCAAAGTCAGATACGTCTAAAGATAGAACTAAAATATGGTGCGTTTGTCTTAGCAAGAGGGATAAAGTACACCAAAATACTCGTATATAATTTTTTGATACGCGTATGTTGTTTCCTGTTCACAAGTAACTTCTAAATTAATACGGCTAATCCTTATCTAAGTCTAAATATTTGCTTTCTGAAATACTCGTACTACAGATTGTAGCCAATAGTTTGCAAAGTGCGAAATCTGTAGTGACGTAGGGCAACAGTCAGATATTGATATCCATATTTCGTCATTCAAAACTTAGCATCCTTTTACTGATTAAATGAACGAACAAATGAGAAACATCTGTCGTTTTGAATGTGTTAATAAGAGGTTGGCTGAAAAATTTATCAACATGATATGAGTCCTGTCGGGCTCTGGAAAAACTCTGGAAAGTGCAGCCTTCTTAGATACTATTTAATTTTTTTACACCGAAGCAGTCGCACAGGCAGAAGCCTAAACTTTGTTAATCCGATTTTTGAACTGCCCAAGTTTAGTAGAACTGGGATCAGCCTCTTCATGTAGATTGTTCCACAATCTCGGTGCCGTAGGGACAAAGGAGCGATCGTATCGGCCAGTTCTGGATTTACGTAGTACGACACGGTTAGGATGGGAGGCTGAAGTCAGGCAGGTCTGTCTGGCAGGCTCATCGCGGGGCGGCATCATGAAGGAGAGCTCCGACGGGCCATTGGTGCGAAAGGGTCCCGAGTCTGTCCGCTAGAGAAGAGTCATCAAGCAGTCGGATAGCCCTACTCTAAACAGCATCGAGCATGGATAATACTGGGTGTAAAGTTAGTGGTGGATCAACAGCCTCAAAACCTATCGAATCGACCCCTGTATGTGTGGCCTGAAATTTTATAGTTCAGGACATATTTGCAATTTTGTGGAATTTCGAAAAAACGGGATAATGAACTTTAAATCGCAATTACAACTAAACCATTAGGTTTAGGGCTGTGATTTTTTTTCTGAGATGAGCTAAAGGGTTAGTTTTAGCAATGGTTATGTCACTTTTTAACATAGCCTATTAGAAATGAAGGCAAACAATCTTAAATTCATTTTTTTGTGAAAAATATCTTCCATTCCTCAACTTAGCCTAGTTCTTTCCCAGCAGCTGCCGCTATTGTCGGTGATCTGGACACCGACCAGCTGAAATGAACGGCTCTTTGGTAGAGCCCGACCTTCTATCGAAACCGGATGAGCGCTAGGAGTCTTCTTGTTCATCGAGGTACAGTACTGTGTTTTGGAAGCAAGTTTTCGAGATTCCAATACTGAGAGTCGACTTTGAAAATCCCGTCACGTCATTTTTTCCATTGCGCTTCTCATAGTGAGGTGACATCTTTGAAAGACCCAGACTGGTCGTATTTGAAAAAAAGTATCAAGTACGTATCTGATTTTGGAGGTTGCTCCCTGACTCTATCGTCAACATTCATAATGAAGAGCTATATTTACACCATATCTTTCATCACGCAATTACGTGGGCCTAATGGCTACCAGATCAGAATGATAGCTTGCATTGTGTCTCATATCCACCCCGATACTTATAGACCCATCGCTGAGATCATGTATCCTAGCCCTCCTAGACCGTTTATGGTGTGTTGTAGGGTGACACCTGCAGTCACAGTGCATCACACAAAGGGCCACTGACGTGGCCAAAGTGATCACAAATGGTACCGCAAAATAATGGATGATTATGGCTACGTGTTCGTCTCTCTCGTAGTGGGCTAATACAACGGTACGGTTTTCTCTGGAATGGTAGCAAGGGAATTCGGTCCCTTCGATTCCGTAGGTCTCTGTGAAATTGGCGCAAAGGACGCTGGGGGGATACCCGCACCCTTTGATGTTTACCAGCAGGACAGCGTCATCTGTTTGGTTGTACGGCTCCTCCTGGAACAAAATAGAAGTTACCTGGATTGGATTTAATAATAATAAACGTCTTTATTCGCCAAACATCAACCAATAAACATATATAGGGTGGCCCATCCATGTGCAGACGGAATATTACTCATAAACAAATACATTTTTGGAAAATCTATTTATGGCATGTTATAAATGACATTTGAGGGCACATCTCTAAAATATTAGCAATTATACAGGATGTCCCAATTTTGACCTACATATCAAAGTTGTGATTTTTTAAATGGAATACCTCAAATTTTATTGCATATTTGGATAAACCAATTCAAACGAAGAATATTGATATGACATACTATGGGGTTTTGGTAATTAGCTACTGAGATGTAAGGTGTTTTGTCCAGAAAAAACGTCCACTTCGGCAACCCCTCAGTCCGCCATTTTGAAATTTGGAGTGCTGAATTTTATATCAAAAAAAGTTACACACCTCGGCTTTTATCTTATTTGTTACTTTTTCGAATTTTTATTTCTGCTCATACAGGGTGGTCAAAAACGCGAATTGTACTTTTTCTCTAAAAATTCAAATGCATCACCCTGTATATTTGTGCAAGTTTGTATTCAATTTTTTATAAGCTTTTTTTGGTAAGTCAGATAAAATCACTAGATTTTGAGTTATTAAGCAAAATTAAGGAAAACAATCACATCATCCGTGGAAACAAAAGACAAATAATTTGCTAGTTTTATATTGCCACTAAGAATACAGATTTGACGTCAAAATTAATAACAATCAGAACAGTATAAATCAGCTCCAATCGTACTAGAGAAAAACAACTATAACAACAACATAAACTATCACTACGACGATGTGCTTGATGCAAGCATAGGTGATATAGATGGTACCTGTGCTTGTGAATAATCCTTTGGACAGAAGTTCTGCATATATCAGTTTCTGCTCCAATTTGCCGTGCACTTAAACAGGGATTTTCCTGCAACTTTAATAGAACCTCCAACTGATTCGCCTCATTGGTGACACATGTATTATTTATATATTTTCACTATATTCCAGTGCTTCACTGGATTCAAAACGTTCTTGTAGTGTGGAAAATGTTTCCGGCCTTGGATGTCGCATATTAGGGTACCGTTGCTTACAAATGCGAGATGCTTCGCCCAAAACGAACACCATATTCACCAATTCTTCTTTAGAAAACTTCATTTTCAAACACGTTTTTATTATAATACAAAAGCTAATTTTGACAGTTTGTAACTAATCAACAATTTATTTGTTTCCAAGGATGATGCGTTATTTTAGGGAATTAAGCCGTTCGATCAAAGACCGAAAAAATTTCCGTAAAAAACCCTTATGTGTCTAGAATAAAAAAAAAGCTTATAAAAAAATTAATCCAAACTTGCTCAAATATACAGGGTGATTTAGCACTCTAAATTTCAAAATGGCGGACTGAGGGGTTGCCGAAGTGGGAGGTTTTTTTAGAAGAAACACCTTACATCTCAGTAGCTAATTACCAAAACACCATAGCATGTTATATCAATCTACTTCTTTTGAATTAGTTTATCCAAATATGCAATAAAATTTGAGGCATTCCATTTAAAAAATCACAACTTTGATATGTAGGTCGAAATTGGGACACCATGGCCAATATTTTAGAAATGTGCCCTGAAATGTCATGTATAACATCCCATTAATAGATTTTCCCAAAGTATATTTGTTTATGAGTAATATTCCGTCCACACATGGATGTATAAAGAAAAGAGTTTGGCGAAGGGCGAAGTTCAGATGTCCGCCACTGATGTGACACACATCTGTTCTTCCACTCAACCCTGTTAAACAACATTACATTCAACCCCACGCATAATCCAAAATAACCGCACTGATAATAACATATCATACACTGAACAAAAATAATAATAAATATTAAACATGCATTGTCCATAGAATAATCAGCTCTGTTTGCTAAATAATGTCCACTTGACATGGCTCTTCAATTTTACAATATTAAATGTTTTGATTTCTTGCGAAAGACCGTTGTACACACTATAAATTTGGTAGGTGAAACTTCGTATGGTGAAACCTATGAGGAGACAGTAGTCCTTTAAATATCTACATCGGTGTGAAATTTTATTTTATTGTAAAGATATATGGGCTGTTTAGCAATTAATAATCTACGACATAAACAAGCCGCGTACAATACCCGTCTGTTATACATGATTAGCCACCCTACATCATATAATTTGTGTGAGACTCTGCTTGGCCTGCGTATACCATATATTAGTCTTAAGCAATCTTAAGCAAGAATTTTGCACTTTTTGAATTTTTTGTTTATACACAGATGTTAAATGTGGACCATAAACAACATCAGCATAATTTAGAATTGATAGAACCAGACTATCACATAGAATTATTTTAGCTTTTTTAGAAAGATAATTTCTGTTAACATAAGTCAGGTTCAAGGTAGATTTATTTGGTGAAATTGAGGTTGAAAAATTTCTTCTACGGTAACATGCAACTTCAAATGCCAATTGAGGAAATGTTTTGGCTATACCAGTGGTGTTCAGAGAGCTATCCATAGTCATCAGGAAACAATGTTGCTAGAAATGCCAGATCTACCGTTTTGAGCATTTGGCTACTGTTCCAACGCAAAATGTTTAATTTTGCTTGGGTTACTACAGTCGTATTTCATACCGTTTAGTTTTGGAATCTACCGTTTTTTAAACGTGACGTCTGCAGTTTTCAGCATTTCTCATCTGGCAGCACTGCGACGAGGTGATAGGTAGTTCACAGGAAAATGGCGAATTCGTCCACATTTTTTTCTAATTTCCTGGGTGTTTGCAATTTGGCTGAACAATCGTTTCTGGGATAAATAAGGTGTGCTGATATTATGGGGAACCCACAAAGGCAATTCTGGTGGCTCACAACATATTTCAAAAATTTTTAAAAATCATAGAAGCTTCCGTAAATTTTGTAAATTCTCATGATAAACACAAGCAGCCGCAATACTGCGATGAGCGATCTGTTCGAGAACGATCTCGATTACTTTAAACGGAATAAATACGCAAGGCGCTCGACATTGCTCTCAGTTTAAAACTGAACGGCACAAAGTCCAGCGGTTGAGTTAGAGTTGGACTACAATTAAAAACATTATAAGCAGTGGTAAGAAGATGCAGACATACCATTTCCATTCGGAATGGGAAGAACAATATTTGTTTACAGAAGTTGAAGGTAAAAATGTATGTTTGTTATGTAATACATCTGTTTCCGTTGCTAAAAAAGGGAATATCGAGACGCACTATACATTTGAATTTTGAAAAATCATTCCCATTAAGTTCTGCAACCAGAATGGAAAAACTGAAACAATTAAAAAATCAGTCAATTGAACAACAGACAATGTTTTTATACTAAGTGGCATATAAATCCGAACACCCAGTTTAAATGGTTTTATTTTAATAAAAGTTGGTGAATGTACTTACTGTAAATAACAAGTGAAAAAATGTTCAGCCTTATCAGTTGGACATTCCGGTTTTTATACTGCTTTTTTTTAATTCACTAACGCTCTAAAAATGAATGTTTCAGCCGCAGTAAAGAATCAACGTTGGCGGATTTTGGTTCTTGACATCCTTTACGATCGGTTACGATGTCTAGAGTACGGAGACCTGTACTATTTCGTCAACTTAGTGAGTTTGATAGGGGCCGTATAGTGGGACTTCGGGAAGCTGGACATTCTTTTCGGGCAATTGCAGTTAGAATGCAAAGAAGTGTAGACACTGTGGTTAGGTGTTGTCAGGCATGGCTTCGAGAAGGCCATACGCAAAGAGCAAGGGGCACTGGACGCCGCCGTAGAACAACAGACCGTGAAGATCGCCGCCTAAGATTATTGGCCTTAAGGGACCGTTTCTCCACTACCTGGTCCATTGCAAATGAATGGTTTGCAGAACACGGAAGACCTATTGGCATGCGAAGTGTTTACCGACGAATGAGAAGTTTTGGCTTGTTTTCATACCGGCCACACTGGGTCCTCCCTTTAACTCGACAACACCGACGTAATCGCCTTGAGTGGTGCAGACAACGGTCACTCTGGGATCAGGAATGGAACAGTATTGTCTTTAGTGACGAGTCTCGATTTTGTTTAGGCATACATGATGGTCGTGCCAGGGTTAGAAGGCGACGTGGTGAAAGGAGGAATCCACAGTTTTTTGTTGAAAGACATGTTCATCACACTGTTGGAGTTATGGTTTGGGGTGCTATAGCTTATGGTTCCAGGTCACCTTTAATCTTCATCAGAGGTAACATGAACGCGCAGCGTTATATCCACGAAGTTCTAGAACCTCATCTTTTACCCTATCTTGACACCCTGGCAGATCCAACTTTCCAACAAGATAATGCCCGACCACATGTTGCAAGAGTCACAATAGACTTCTTTCAACATAATGATGTCACATTGTTACCATGGCCACCAAGATCTCCCGACTTATCCCCAATTGAGCACGTGTGGGATATGATGGGTAGGAGATTGCTCAATTTGCAGCGTCCTCCTCAGACTCTAGAAGCACTTCGAAAGGAGTTGGTGGTTACCTGGAATGAGATACCACAGGAGGACATTGACCACCTGATCAGAAGCATGCCTAGGCGAGTTGGAGAATGCGTAGCACATCAGGGTGCATCCACACATTATTAAAGGTCAAAGGGCTTTAAAGCAGTGCAATCACTTTGAAATTTTTATCATTTACTTATTATGCTTCATTAAGTACTTATACAAAATTTTATTAAAATAAAACCATTTAAACTGGGTGTTCGGATTTATATGTCACTTAGTATAATAACCATCGACTGAAGTAAGGCTGCGACTGAAGCATCATACCGGGTGTCCCAGATAATTACACAAAAGAAGAAACCTTGCGAAGACGGGGAAATGATAAAACAGGCGTTTTTAGAAGCTGCAGATTCATTATTTGCCAACTTTAAAAACACAGACGAGATAGTGTCTGCTATAAAATGTATGCAACTTTCTGCTAATACAGTG